TTGGAGGTAAGAGAGGTGTAACTGCACCAGACTTCTGATTCTTGCTCTTGACTCCAGTAGGCTCAAAGTAAATCAAAGTTGCAAATAATTTTGCCCCTTCCCTTCCCTGACTTTGGAATCCACCTCCCATCCTAAGGGCATCTCAGTTCTGGTTGTTTCACACTCAAATTTCTCTAGATACACCTTGGTCTAGAAAATGAAAACTGTCTTGCCACATTCACCTGTCAAGAGAGAGGGCAGTAGCACGAGGCTTATTATTAATTATTTAATCAGCCACTTGTGAGATTTCTGGGCTTGTGCCAGCTCTCCCTTCAGAGTTTTTGGACAAACACAGCGTGAGGGGAAGGACTCCTGTGCACTCTCCCAAGCTGTTCCATTACACCTGATTTATAGTATGACACTACTTGTTCTAGCCCATAACCTTGAGCTTGTAAACTACACAGGGGGAAATTTACTAACTACTGAGTTCCTCTTAATGCACTGTTGGGAATCTTAAAGGGGTAAAAAAGAAAGGAAGGAATTGGGCATCTAGAGGAGCTGGTTTTGTACAGCAATCCTGTACTAGCCCAGTGAAGTGCATCTCACTCTGCTTCCATTTAAATAAAGTTTTCATTTACACAGCCAGCATACAGTAAGGACCCATGTTTATCTTGCTCTGAAGGTGATAATCAATAGGAGAGTTGTAGACACATTTCCCAGCTTATTAGCTGCACACATGGATGGAGTTTCCCACAACAGCATGTACAAATGCCTTTACTCCACTCTTAGCTGGCATCAGAGTTTGATTAATAACAGAAGACAGAAAACTGGTTTGCAACTTTTCTGTTAGGACAGAAAATTGTCACCCCCTAGCAGACAAATTCCCAGCAGTAAAGGAATGTAAACAGAACAGCACTGAGAGCTGGATCATGGGTGCCACAGGTCCTTTACTACACAACCCTTGAGGCTGCACTGCTGTGCAACACACACAAGCAGCACCCACAGATGCAGAAGTTAATTCAGATGCTCTGCCCCACATTTTGTCATTGTTTCCAAAACTTTTAGGTTAATCTCCTCAGCTAATACTCTTGGGGTGAATGTCTGATTTGCCCAAGGTAGAGTTAGGCAGCCTGCCCTCTGTACTAATGCACAACTTCCTTGAGACAAGCAGAGAGTGTTGATGTCACAGAGCAAACACAAAATGAGCTCTGCATTCACTGACTATTCCCAAGAGATATCTTGCTCCTTACTTCAGTCTAAGTACTCAAAAGTCAGTCCTCAAAACTTTCTCCTCAAGTTATTTTCACCATGTAAGGCTCCAGCAAACAGCAACTTGTGTGATTATTTCTGCCATTACAGTCTCTTACTTTGCTCAGTTTTAATTACTTTAAATTACATGGCTGAAGTGCTGCTGGATAGATGTCATTCAGCAATAAAGGCTTGTTCTTTGAAGAGCCTGAATTAGGGGCCTTTCAGCAGGACTGTAGCTCATATGCTGGGGAATGTCACACTCAGTTTCTGTGGCTCACTGAGGACATTAGGAGTAACCTTATTTCTATTCAAAGCAGAATTGTGTTTGCAAATTACTTTCCAGCATCCCAGCAGTGGATTCTCATAGGGACTGGCAGGAAGCAGTGATTCCTATTGTTCCTTCACTCCAGTGACTGAAGGATTTCCCAAGTGACAGCGAGGTGCAGAGCAGACAGCACTGTCACACAGCTCCTGCTCGTGCCAGCAGGGAATCACAGGACTTGTTCTGCACAACCTTGGTCGAGCCAAGTTCACAGCAGGTACAGCAGCACAGCTGAAGCACTGGGCACACCTGTCACCTGTGTCACTGAGCACACCTGTCTCCTGTGTCACTGAGCACACCTGTCAGTGCCCAGGGAGCAGCTGAGCCCTAATGCAACCCAGCTCACCACAGCAGCTCCCAGCACAGACCTGGACAGAACCAGCAGTACCCAACTGTCCACTCACTGACTCACACTCTCATTTATCTTCCATGTTTAAAAAAGGATGATGATCATTTTATAACTGCAATCATGAGCCTTTTTTACTTTAGCTTTGATGAACCACCTCATTAATAACTGCCAGGAGGTCCTAAACAGAAAAAACAACTACACACATCCATAAAGATATCAGGCTGCCTGACTAAAGTACTTCTACCTTCTCATTGGGTACCTCAAAATGTTTATGAACAAGCTCATCAGCAGGTTTACAAGTTTCTCCTCAGTTAAATCTCCCATTGCTGAGCAGAGCTCACAGTTCTGCTCTCTTCAGACTCCCCTGAAGCCTCACTACACCTTCACATGTACTCGCTGCTTCTGTCCCAGCAGCACAAACACACAGCAGTGGTGAGTTTACAGTGCCCCCAGATGTTACTCACGAAATCAGCACCAAGTAGAGGCTTCAGTGCCTCTCCATCTCTTTTGGTGACAGTTCATTTTAAAACATTCTTTTATAATAAATGATCTGCTAAAGGCTTTTTGCAGTTAACATGGAATTTTGTGTCTACGTCTGTACCAAACATCTAACTGAGGTGCAGATGTACTAATTACCACGAAAGCAAAGTAGAATCAAACCTCTAAAATTTATAAATATACAATTATGTTACTCACGAAATCAGCACCAAGTAGAGGCTTCAGTGCCTCTCCATCTCTTTTGGTGACAGTTCATTTTAAAACATTCTTTTATAATAAATGATCTGCTAAAGGCTTTTTGCAGTTAACATGGAATTTTGTGTCTACGTCTGTACCAAACATCTAACTGAGGTGCAGATGTACTAATTACCATGATAAAGTAGAAACAAACCTCCAAAATTTATAAATATACAATTATATATAGAAATTACCAGTATAAAGCTGTGTCACTAGTTCTTACGGAACTGGAAAAGGTTCAGTTCCCAGCATTCTGATGGATTTACCACAGAAACCACTCCAGATGTTCTTACCATCCTACCAGGGAAAGGCAGGGACCAAGCCAGCTCCTCACCTCACCCCATCTCCCATCGCTCCTGTCACAGACACAGCTGTGGAGCTTCCTTAGGCAGCACCATAAAGATCAGCTCTGGGTTATGCATGTTTAAGACAGCAGAAAATGCTACCAAGGCACAGAAGAATACTAAAAACATGCCAAAAATGAATTTTCCCACTTACTGTCTTGCGGAAGAAAACAAGAACAAGCAACAACCTTGCTTTTTAACTGAAAAGTTTAAAGCCCAGGTCTGTTTGTTTAAAGGACTTTCAGGGCCACCTGCAAATCATAAAGAAGCTGGAAAATAAATCTTCTCACTTCTCTCCTGTCTGTGGATTCATAACCAGAGTAATGACATCTCTAAGGATACAGCCTTCTCTGGAGGTCCAGACAGGATCTGAAGCAAAATCTACAGCATGCAGGAAAAATAGGTACTGGAGTAAAATATCTAGAAGCCAGGCTTTAGATATTTACATGTGTCTAAGTGTAGTATATGTAGGTGCTTATTAAACTTGAATTACTTTGCAATTCTTTAGTCTTCTCCCAGATCAGTGATCCCAAAAAAGATTATAAACAATTTGAGTTTGCTACAACTTGTAAGAGATTCACTGTGACAGAGGAGTGTCAGGGCAGCTGGCAGAGCCCAGCACAGCTGTTTATCACACTACAACAGAAACAGTTCTTCAAACACACATCAGGGACTGCAGAGATAGAGAGTTTTATCAGAACACACCTTTCAGGCAAGTTACTAAATCGTGGCTTTACAGCAAGAAATGTGTTTGAAAGAGCACTGCAGAGAACCAGATTGCAAATAGGCCCCCATTGATGGTACTGAGCTCTCAATGTGCTCCTTGTGTAACTTCACTGTCCCCTAATACTCTAAACATCATGAAACCCTTTCTTTGGTAGCCAAAAGAAATCACTCTGTACCAAGCTTTGTTAAGACCATAAAAATAATTTGTGTCCTTACAGGAACTGTCCCTTTCCCATCATCCAATACTGACCAAAGTAAACACATGTAAGAAAAGATACCATGGGTTGTTGCAGTAAAAAGACCCAAGTGAGGTAAGCAAGCTATCTCCCACTCTGATGTTCCCAGAATGAAAAAGAAAGATCTAAATATCAGATATTTGCATGTACAAGCAGCTGCTCATTCTGTTTTTATGCTGATGTTCATCAATTCTGACCATAGATTTGAAAATCTGACTTGAGTGAAATGAGATTCCCCCTATCAATCTCAGTCTTCCTCTCTTCAAAGAAGTAATGATAAAAATGAGATTGTTTTCAGAGAACTGAAAGCCTGATTTGTATATGCTACAAGCCATTCCATATGAAATCCATGGAGTGTTTCACTTTTCTCAATGTTACAAAAGCAATTTGTTTCCAGACAATGCAGAATTATGCACCAAAAAAAGCTTTTCTCCAGATTTTGCCTGTTACCCACAATGAATTTCCAGAGAGAACAGCCTGAACTCCGTGCCTGTATCAGATTATTAATGCAACTTAAGGCAAAATCCAAAAGTTTGACCATTCTGGAAGTTTTTGCTGCCACCTCCTCTCCGACAAACTAAATATTGCCACCTACTGACTGCCAAAGCCTGAACTTCCAAGGATTTTTTTTATTTCCCTCTCCCAGACACAAGTCCCAAGACACACAACAAAGGCTGTTACATCCCAGATAAGCCAAAAATTGATGTCTGATATTTTGAAATATTATTGCTACTTGGTTTTGTCCACTGTTACTTGTTTTCTTCCAGTGTTGTAACTTTAAGATGTCAAATTTTAGTTAGAGGTTTGATCTTGCAGCATGACTGTCAAGCACACAGTTTTACAATAGAAGACTCGCCATACATAGCAGAGAAACCAAGCTTTATAACAGCCCCATGTTTTAGGTTTGACAGTCCAGGGTCCAGCTTGAATGCTGTGGTCCAAGTAACTCAGAAAAAGTAACATCTGCTGCTCCCAAGATTTTTCCACACCCTTCACTTGACAAATAAGGAAAAACCCATGATTTTTCTCACATCATCCAGCTCCAGCAACACCAAAGATATAACTAAACCATGACTTTAATGATTCCTTTGTACAATTACATTGCCCAACATGAGATACCTATACAGCCACTGAATTGTATCACAGTGTGTGAACAAGGGTTCTGTTTCGCAGCTGCTGCACGTATTCCTTTGCTTGGTCAAAGCCAGTCCTTGGTGGCTCTGGGGGAGGAGGAGGACCTTCCACCAGCTTCACAAAGTAGTGGCACCTGCTGATTTTCATCATGCCAAACATGCCCTTGCCGTGGTAGCGCAGCCGCTTCACGTAACGGCCCCTGCCCGTCTGCGACTCCGCTGCAGGAGAAAGGACAGGGGAGATTATTCAGGCAAGAACAAACTGCTACAGCTGCAATAAAACACCTGTCTTGCCAGGGTGTTTTTCATGGCTGCTTCTAGGAAGTTAATTCTACTTGGGATTCTCCCCTCCATCTTTCTTCTGTTACATTTAGCAGATCGCTGCTGCAGAGGAACCCGTGAGCTGCATTAACGCTCTTCAGGAGTGCCAAAAAGGGGAATTTAGAAAGCAGGCACATGAAGATAAATATGTGGTGAAGGACAAATCACACTGAGCACTCACTAGATTATACAGCTCTTCTGAAGGTGGTATTCGTTTCACTGCCTTTCAGTAGTTTGTCTCATGAATTCCTGCAAAGTCTTACAGACTTCATTTTCCCTCCTTTCTCCCTTTATTGCATTCATCACAGGTATTTTCATTATCTGCACATCCAGTCCTGCACTACAGCTGAGCCTTCTTCTGGCAGAGGCCTAGAAGGCTCCAAAGAATTCTAATCAAATCTCTCTACAGTCCAGGTGACTTTAAGCTTATGAGGTCAGTTGAGTAAAATTTATCCCCTATTAGACAAAATAGGATTTTTTTCTTTGGGCCTCAAAGCACCTAAGAGTAAACATTTCTCTAATATTTTCTAGGCTAAAAAGCACTTTAGTTATTACAAGCTAATCCTGCAAATCATCTACAGACAAGTCTTTTTATTAAGAAGTTTACTGTCATTACCCATTTACTTTTTATACTGTGTCTGATGGAAGTTTAACTTTGATCCTGCAAATCAAATTGCACCAGCCCCAGAAAAAGCTTCCAGCATCTCTGACTGGCAACATTAATAACTAGAAACTCTTTGCTTCTTGTTGCCCAATCTTTCATATTTGTGTCAAGCATCTTCCTTTGTTAAACAGGGAGCAGAATTCCATTCTCAGATGGATACAGCAATCTTAAAAATGCTGCAAACATGTGCCTTTCATGTTTTTGTAAAGTTAAGTTTAGCAGAAACTGTCCTCTATTCACTTCTGGTGATTTCAGGCATCAAAATATTTTTAAATGTAACATATTTTCACAGGGTAGGATAGAGTAAGATGACATTTTTCTAATGCACTAAATTAAAAAAATGTACCTATGTGTAAGTTTGATTTGAATTCCACATTGTGCTTTCTTACAGCCATTTCCTGTGCTTCTAACAGAACCTGTAACAAAAGGTAAAGAAATGGAAATACTGAGGAATTTAAGCAATGCTATTTCTTATCTCTAGATAACATGAAAGAAATTGCAAGTTTAAGTCAGTTATAGAAAAAGTATTTTATGAAGATAAAAACTGTTAAAAGACAAGCATCTTTTACATGAAGATGTTCCTTGCATAGAATGAAAAAGCCTCAAGACAATTTTATTACATTTTTGGGGAGAAAATGGAGTGGAAAAGATGGTTTCCACCAGCATTTGTCAGCCTCCCCTCCACAGACCTTTGAGTAATCAGACATCTGACTAGAAATAAATTCCAAGGTGGGCAAAATGAACTTGGTCCATTCAATCTTTTCAGCTGATACAGGACATTTCTTTGCCATAATTATACCAGAAGTCAATGCTTCAGCCAAGAAAATGAGTAATTTGAGAATCCAAACTACCACAGGGTATTCAAAGCTTTTGTGCCTTTACAGAACTCAGTCCTCTCCTTAACAACGTCCCTCATCTCTTACAGTTTAAGAACCCACAAAGCACACAGATGTGGCAGCCATTAGTGACCAGGATTCTGCACCTTTCACCTGAACTTAACACCAAGCACTGCTAGAGAGGACACCCACATGGAATTTATCACCATGTCAAGTTAGAACAGACAGCAAAAGTGATCCCAACATATTCATAAGTCACAACATCACTTGACTGCAGTAAAAATACATTGTTAGAATGTGCTCCCAACAGGATTACCTGAAACACAATAACTCACAGAAGTAGAAACACCTCCAAACTTCTGGTGACAGCTATTGATTTTCAAGTTTTCTGGAAACCAGGAGTGTTAAAGAATACTGCTATTTACCTCTTTGATCACCTTTGCTCCCTTTTTGTCACTGAATTCCAGTTGAGCGAGAGCCTGATCAATGGACATTCCTTTTATCTGCAATAAAGTGTTAAAATTAACTTCTGCATTTACAAGTATTTCCCTTCTCTTATTCAGAGGACAACATTTAAATTATATTTAAATTATAAAAACAAAAATTCTGTCATTTCCTTAATTACCATTTCATCAATTTAATACCTTGCAGCTAAACCACACTACAAGCAGCCATTCCTGTCCAGACCCATGCTCATCCCCACATTCTGCTATAAAGGTGCTCATTAAACTGTGATTGAATGAGGCTCTTAAGACAAATACAGCAATTAAATTCTGCATTCTCTCAAGTACAGTACAAAGTACTCTTTGCTTACCAGTTTTGCCAGATACCACATCTTATCTTTGCTGTATTTTATTTCCCTCCGACAGTGATATATTTCCTAGGGACAAAAAGAAGTTAAAGGATGAGAAATTTTACTGTGAAAACAGGAATGGAGCATCCATGTCTGCTGCACAATCTATGTTCTTACTAGGAATAAAATAAAAATGGCTCTGCCTACTCTGAGAACAGCACATCAGGCATAGCTTTCACATTTGAAACTGAAAGCACTAAAAAAAAAGTGCTGGCACACAGGAAATTTTAATACAATCTTATGAGACTTAGTTTATAAGGAGAAGTCCCTGAAAAGGATATTCAGAAGGTTTATCACCATCTTTTCCTCTCATTCTCCCCACTTTAGAAGGAAAGATTGACCTGCCCATTCAGCCTTAAGAATATTACCCTGCTATCAACTCCACTTACTGGGAGAGCAAATAAACAATATTACCAGAATGAACTTAATTAGCCCTCGAGAAGTGAAGAGGGTTTCAGGTTTGATTGGCACAAGGAGCTGCCTCCACAGACCCCTCTAACATTATTGCTAACAGGGATCAGCACCAGCTGCTAGAATCTAACATCAATACAGATTTGAAAGAGATGGAACTCTTGATAAACAGGGAAAACACTGATTTAATAAACCCTTCTGTCAATAGCTGCATTTTCACACACACTGCACCAGTCAGCACAGTCCACAGCAGGGATTTCTATGTCCTAGGCCACAATGTTCACAAAAGCAATCAATAAATGCTCATGGCCCACAAAATACATGCCTAAAGAAGCCCATTTCTTTTCAATTTAATACTTTTACTTTGCTCAGCAGGGTGTCTAACAGAAGTCACAACACATCAATTCCTAATGAAGAAAAATTATAACATTGGAATTCCAGAACATCAGTTCTTGACAGTACAGCTTCTACCTCCTTGCAGAAACTTCTACAAACACAGGATGGGCCCTTACAGCTTGAACCAGACCCTGAGTGGGTGAGCAGCTCCCAGTAACTCTAGGCTCCAACATAATTTAGAGATGGAAATCATTCCAAGTGATATCAACTTCTACAATAAATCCAAACTGAACAAAATCCTAAATAATGAGCAAACAAGCTTTCAAACTAGAGCCTTGGGCAGTCACCCTGTGCAGACAGTGACAATCTGTCCAGAAATTGCTGAACATTCTCAGGTGAGGACATGCCAGGTGCATCCTTACAGCTGGTCTGCGAGGCTCTCCAGGCAGCTGGGGAGGGTAAACAATCCTGTTCTTCTTCTCCCACTTCCCAATTTTCTGCAGAGATGTGCTGGTGTGGATGCAGGACAGAGGAAAAAGGCTCACAGATGACAGAAACCTGCAAGGCAAGGCCACAGCCTCAGCTGTGAACACAAGAGTTCTTTGTCCCTGCCCAGTTCATCTGGAAAATTGTGAACTTGCTGTCTTGAAAAAGAGAAGCAGCACATTTGTACACAAAAAACCCCCAAACTGATGAATCCTTTATAGTTATGCTGAAAGGGCTTTTTAACTCATCAAGACTCAAATTTCATAAATCAAGCCATGAAGTTGGTATGAGTGTCCACATTAAGTGTCCTCAGACTGTCACACAAAGCCACAGCCACCTCTGTTTGATGCTCTTGTGGGGTTCAGGATTTACACAAACCATTTGTACCTTCCCCAAGCTACTTTATTTAATATATATTAATTGATAATATTTTTAAATTTATAATATATTAAATATATATTATAAATATATTTTTTATATATTAAATATGCTTATTTAACTTTTACCAACACATTTAGCAGTGAAAATTTCTAGTTCTTCAAGGGGCTGAGTATCTCAGAGCATTGGAGGTTTATAAACATTGTGAAATTTGAGAAGAGAGGTGTTCTAAACCACTTCCAAAACACAATCAGGGCAATCCAAAACCCAGTCAGCTGATAGCAATAAATCAATTTTCAGGCAGTTTGCTCACCTCAGATTCTGAAAAAACAGATTCTGCCTGGATAAAGCAGCAGTGGGCAGCCACTGGTGACTACAATGAACAGATGAGTTCAAGACCAAATATTGTGAGTTTTCCTGAGCCTTGAATATCTTTGTGTGTGTGGCCAACCCATGCAAAGCATCTTAAAAACAACAAAGAGAGCATGCCAAAAGGGCATTGTACACACTGGTCACAACAAAATGTGAGCAGAGATCAGCATGGCACACAGATTTCAATGTCATGGGACATTTTCTCAGGCATTTGCAGGGACACAGCTGGCAGCTCCAGTGCTCCTACAGCACAGCTCTGGGATTCCTCCAGAAGGAGGGGAAACTTCAGCAAGTAAGGAGAGCAGTGACTGGGGACAGCACAGACACCACATTTGTGTGACCTGTCAGAGACAACATGGGTGTGCAACAGAAAGAAGTGAGGAGAGAGACACCCCCATGATGTCACGAGCTCTGAACACTCAGAAGGACACCACGGGGGCAGAGAGTGAGCAGAGCTCCAGGGAGGGGGAGATGGCCAAGGCAGGGCAGCCAGAGCCCAGCCCCAGGTGGCCAAGAGGGCAGTGCCTGTGCCACTGCCAGGGCAGGGGTGACAGGGACAGACTCACCTCTCTGGCCGTGCCCAGCTGAGGAGACCCCGAGCCCAGGCAGCACCTGAAGGGATGGAAAAGTGAGGGAGGCATGAACAGAACGGGAAAACCACAGCATGCTTTGGGATGGAAGGGGTTGGGATTGAAGGCCACCCAGCCCCACCCCTCGCCATGGCAGGGACACCTCCCCCCATCCCGGGCTGCTCCCAGCCCGTCCAGCCTGGCCTTGGACACTGCAGGGATCCAGGGGCAGCCACAGCTCCTCTGGCACCCTGTGTCAGCGCCTGCCCACCCTCACAGGGAAGGATTTTTTTCATAATATGTAACCTAAACCTACTGGCTGCCAGTTTGAAGCCATCCCCCTCATCCTGTCACTTCAGGCGCCTGTAAACACTCCCACTCCATCATTCCCGGCCGCTCCCTTCAGGCACTGGAAAGCGGCACCTTGGTCACCCTGACGCCTCTTCTCTCCAGGCTCAACAACCCCAATTCTCCCAGCCTTTCCTCGTAGGGGAGCTGTCCCACCCCTCCGGTCACCCCGGTGGCTCTCCCCTCCAGCCAGACCCTCCCAGAGCAGCGCCGCGTCCTCTCAGCCTCACCCGGGCCCCCTCAGCCTCACTTGCGTCCCCTCAGCCTCACCCGGGCCCCCTCAGCCTCACCCGCATCCCCTCAGCCTCACCCGCGCTCAGTGCCCAGCGCGCCGCCATCTTCCCGGCCTCGTTTTGCGGCGATGCGCGGTTTGCGACAGTTTGCGGCGGCGCCTCACCCGGGCCCCCTCAGCCTCACCCGCGCTCAGCGCCCAGCGCGCCGCCATCTCCCCGGCCTCGCTTTGCGGCGATGCGCGGTTTGCGACAGTTTGCGGCGGCGTGCGCGGCGCTCGGCGGCAGCGCGTGGGGGGAGCCGGGGCGATGGCGGCGGGGCCGGGGATGGAGACGGGAACGGGAACGGGGACAGGGACAGGGGTGCGGGCGCTGCCCGCCTCCCCCAACTGGTACAGCAGCCGCTGCAGCGATGCCAGCAGCGACGGCCGCCTCTTCGGCTTCGCGGCGAGGCACCGCGTCTGCCTGCTGGATGTCGCCGCCGGCGCGCCCACGTTTTACGGTACGGTCACAGCCTTCCCCGGCCCGGGCGGGGCCTGCGGGGCCACGGCGGGATGCGGGCGGCCGTGACGGTGTCTGTCTGGCTGCAGGGGAGCTCCTCGGGCACACGGACCGCATCTCCGCCTTCGCCTTCTGCCACTGCCCCGGGCACGGCGGGCGCTGCGCCAGCAGCTCGGACGATGGGAGCGTCAGGGTGTGGGACAGCGGGACCCTGTCGCCCGTGCTGGAGTACAGCCTGCACCAGGTGGGACACGGGCACGGGCACGGGGGGTTTGGGCTCGCTCACGGCACGGCGAGGTGCTCTGCCCTGAGGCGAGTTCCAGGCCCGGTGTGGTGGGCGCTGCTCGTCCCGGCTGCTGGCACCGAGCAGCACCGAGCCCGCGGCTTGGACTCGCTGCTGCTTAGCCCAGCTCGCCTGAAATGAGCTCAGCAGATTGCTGTGGCCGCAGGGCAGGCTGAGGGCGTGTTTGAGGAGTTGCTGCGGCTCAGGAGTGCGCATCAGCAGCTCCACCCGTCCTCTAAAGCCTGAAGGAGCAGAGGCGCTCGGGGACACTCCACAGCGCTGCTGGGTGTTGCTGTAGGACACGAAATAACAGCGTGGACACGCTGCTCTCTTGAAGTAAAGAAGGCGTTTTTAATTTCTGACTCTAACATTTATAGATTACTAAAAGTGACAGTGGATTGGAGGGTGACAGTGGCACCTCTCCAATGACACTGGACAAACCAACAATCTGTCAAATTTCTCTTCTATAAAAGAATTCAAAACAATAAGTTATTTACATAAAGTATTTGAGAAAATTCATTACAAAAATATAAACATCAAAAAGCTTTAAAAAATCAAAACAACAGCTGGGCACTGCTCAGAGATGATTTCCTGCCTGTTGCTCTGTGTTAGGTGGCAGTAAAACGGCTCTAAACCTTTCCAATGCTCTCTCTTCAGAATGCCATCTCAGCACTGCACTGGTCCCCTCTTGTGAAAGATCTGATTGTGACTGGTGATGAGAAAGGTGTCATTGTTTGTTACTGGCACAACAGAAATGACAGCCAGCAGTTCTTCCCAGAGCCCAGGACAGTGTTCTGCCTCACCTGTTCTCCTCACCATGAAAACCTGGTGGCCATTGGGTAAATGCTCTTTACTTCATGTTTTATTTTCCTTATGTTTTGTTTTCCACTCTTCATCTGCAAGAATTTAATTGTGAGGTTTTGCTACATGGTTGAAAAATAAATTTCAGGAGGTCTTGGTGGCTGTTCTTTTAGTTTTGGAGTAAAACAAATTAAAAATAACATTTGGATTTGATAAACCTGCAAAGGCGAAGAAATCTGTTAAAGTGTAATGGTCCAGCCTGGCTTCTCTCTAATAGGGTGATAGTGACCCTGGAAAGAGCTTGTAAATCACCTTGGATATTATTCCACAAGCATCCAAGGGTGCCTTCATTAATTTAAATCTCTGCTTTCAGCTACAAGGATGGCATGGTGGTGATAATTGATATCAGCAGGAAGAGAGAAGTTGTGCACAGGCTGAGAGGCCACGAGGATGAAATCCATTGTCTGGCCTGGTGCCCTGTGCCTGGGGAAGAAAGGTTACCTGCTTGGCAGGATGAGCTCCAGGGTAGGTGAACACGATTAACAACTTGTGGAGTAACTTTTAGTTCATGTAAATGTCCTTCCAGAGGACTGAATTTTTTACAGAAGGTAAGTAATTAGCTAATCAACTGATCAGTTCAAGAAAATATGTTCTGATACAAACCAGTATAATTTTCAGCTCATTTTTATGAAGCTTGGATTTTTAAAGCATAATAACATGACTTCAATGGTGTTCAGCAGCTCCTTCAGAAGAAGGCAGGGTTTCAAACGGGGAGCTGACCCAGGACACAGCCACGAGGAAGGGTTGTTACCTGGCCTCTGGAAGCAAGGATCAAACCATACGGATATGGAGCTGTACCAGAGGCAGGAGTAAGTAAGAGAGAAACAGTAACAAGGTGAAATAACTCCTGAATTGCAAATAGTCTTTGTGTGCTGAAAGCATGGGGAATGTAATTAAAGCTGCAGATTCACAGGACTCCTGTATCTGTTCGTGTGGGTTTGAAAAGAGAGGTGTCCTCTGAGAAAGGCAGGAGCCTCCCTTGAAATGGAAAATGCAAAGCCCCTCCCTCTGAATTGTTATAATTTTGAAATTAGGGGGCTCTCAGGAAAAGATATGGGAGTAGGAATAACAGTTCTTTAATAGGAAAAAAGTTAAAATGCACTAATGCAAAACACTGGCAGAGTCAGAGTAGGACCTGGCACCCTGTGGGTCAGGGTGGTGGCACAGTCCCATTCCATGGTGGCTCAGCCCTCCTGCAGTGCCAGCTCTGGTTCTGCTGGAGCAGGGATCCTGGACAAGGCGGGAGTTTTCCTCTGAAGGTCCAGGGGTGCTGTAGATGGGCTTGGTCTTCTTCTGGGAATCCAGTTGGAAGAGGCTGCTGTGGTCTTCCAAGCCTCAGATTGTGTCCAGGTAGGAATGCTTGGCTCCTCCCCCTGGGCGGAGCATCTCCCAGTGGGATGATGGAATTTTATCAGCCATGCAGGAACACTGTGCATGTGACTGTGCAGTGACACTGTGCATGAACAGAAGATATTTTCCAGAGGGAGGATGGGTTGTGGAAGAGATAAAGAAAAGTGCCCAGTTACCAGAGGATAACTGCCCCACCTCTGACAGATGCAATAGAACACACGCTCAGCCACATCTTGCATTTCCAACCTGAGACCCTGAGAGTTTCCATGTGTGAGGTGCAGTGATGCCTCCTGCTCCCTCAGGTGTGATGACTCTGAAGCTGCCACCCACCAAGAGGCGAGGAGGGGCCGTGGACCCGGCGGTCAAGGAGCGCATCTGGCTGACTGTCCTGTGGCCTGCTGGCCACCCCTCAGACATCATCTCCAGTGCCTTCGGGTAAGTGGGACAGCCAGCAGCAGCTGCAGAGCCATTTGTTCCTGCTGAAGGAAATGCTGAATAGAAAAGACCCCCCCCCTTCTTCCTTTCTTTCCAGTTTTACAGGAGAAAACAGGCCTAGAGTTAAAGTTCAGACGTGGAGAAAATTACTGTTTGTCCAACAATCTGAGTATTGACTGCTGATAGCACTAATTGTGGTTTTGCCAATCTACTGGGAAAAAATGGCAGTTTTCAGGTGGAGTTTGAGTGTGTAGCTTTTTACAGATGTCTGCAGAATCTATTACTCCTGTATACTTGCTGTATATTTGTCATATGGTCGATATAGGGCCTGTGTTGTTCTGAAGTGAAACATTTAAATTAATTTCAATTTTGCAGAGGAGAACTGCTCCTTTGGAATTTGACCCAGCCTGGCAAACGCAAGTGGACTCTTCTGGGATCTTCAGAAGGACAAAACCACTCCCGAATTGTGTTCAATCTCAGTTCTGTGAAGCACCAAGACAGAGAGCTCCTTTTTTCCATTTCAATGGACAGAGATGTAAGAACCATTTAAAAAATTAGCATAGGAATGCCTGTACAATGCAGTTTGACTGAGACTAATCCTTTTAGGCCACAGTTTTTCTCCAGAAGTGGGTTTATTTTAGCATTTTATGACATCACTTCCTACCATTTGTTCTGAGCACAGGTTGTGTATGTTTCTGTTAGTTTGTAAGCTCAATCTCTTACCATGGTGCAGTGAATGCTTATGACATTCTGGAGTTGAATAGTAAACATTTAATGAAAGGTGTTTTCCACTTCTTTTCCTCTATAGTTCACTTTTAAAAAACCTGATTTTCCTTCTTAAAATAATGTACTTGTAGAAACTAAGGCATCTATTTTTTATAGGTCTTTTTTCAATCTTTGGTCTTTTACAGGCAGCAGAGTGTCTCCTGTTTTGAAACTGGGAGAAAAACTTAGTGAAATAAATTCATTATGTCCATTCCAGTCTTGCAGCTCTACTGCAGCCCTGTCTGTGACAGGGAATCCTCTGGGTGGAGATCTCATCCTGCCAAGCCTTGCATTTGACCCTTTGATTCTTCACTTCACTTCTGCTTTGTTTTTTCTTGTCCTGTCAGTCACTCAGTATTTAACCATTCCTTGTCCCTCAAATATTCTTCAGGTGAAATGCTGGGATCTGTCAACTCTGGAGTGCAGCTGGACTTTGCCCTCCCTTGGAGGGTTTGTCTACAGCCTTGCCTTCTCCCCCGTGGACACAGGCTGCCTCGCCATCGGGGTCGGGGACAGCATGATCCGAGTGTGGAACACTCTGTCCATCAACAACGTTTATGATGTTAAAACCTTCTGGCAAAGCATAAAGTCCAAGGTTACAGCAGTAAGTGTGCTTTGGATTCCTTTTGTTCCCCCCAATATAGCTTCTTTTCACTCAATTTTTTTTAAGGATGTTCTTCTCTCTCTTGCATTCTGAAGGTTTGTCCCAACTAAAATGAGATAAAGCCTTGTTCATTTTATACTCAATTCTTTCTGTATACTGTAAATTTTAGAATCGGGCAACAATTTTTTAGACCTATTTATAATCTTAGAAGCTTGCATTTATATCTACTGGAAATAAGCTGAAGTCCAGCTGGCTGTTGTGTTACTTTTTCACTTTTATCCTCCTTCATGATTCTTCCTTGCTTCACCTGTGGTTGTCCTTGCTCTGCTAGGAAGCTTGAGAGATACAAAAAAAACAATACAGCCAACACAGGTGTCTTCAGTTGGGGTTTAACTGGTTGAAGGAAGCTTGAGAGATACAAAAAAAACAATACAGCCAAC